TGCTCTGGGCTTGTCCCAGATCCTTCTGGAGCTGGGGCAAACATCCCATTCCTGTTGCTTGTGGCAGCTCTCCTCTGCTCAACTGTACAGCCCCGTTCCCTGCTCTGCATGTTCTCTCCAGGCCCTGGGCCCTGGTTTTTGGGTCTGGTTTGTCAGTGTTTGGTGCTCAGGTGCAGTCAGTGGGTCGGGGGAGCTGTGGGGGCACGGCCCAGGAGAGGCTGTGGTTTGCTTTGGGGATCACTTGGGAAAAGCTGCCAGGGATGAGTCAGGGAATAGTTTGGGCACGTGAGAGATGAGGGCACGTGGGACTGGGGCAGGGAGGCTCAGTCCTCACAGCTCTATCTAGAGGCCTCCTGGGGCCTGTGGAGTGACCAGGGGGCTGCGCCAACACTCCAAAGCTTTGTTAGTGTTCCACACCTTTTCAGCCTGGGGACGCTGCTGGCCTGTGCTTGTCCCTGCACTTCCAGCACCTCCCCACATCACAGGACAGGGATGGGATGGGATCTGCCTGCCCACATCGCAGGCAGATGGGATCCTCAGCCTCTCATCCCATGTGCTCCACGTTCCTCCACCACCACCCTTAAACATGAGCTTGGGGCCAGTTCTGCCTTGGGGTTATTGCTCCCTGCTCATGCCAGGGCCTGCTGAGCATCTCAAAGAGTCTCAGCTTGAATCTGTCACTGTCAACACTCGCTTGGTGCTCACCTGGCTTTGCTGCCCAGGGAAATTCCAGCTTCACTTTATCCTGTGATTTTCTCCTGGCTGAATTTCTGTTATTCTCCCCGTGCTGTCCCTTCCTGCTGTCCAGCCACAGTCCAGGGGGGGGTCACAGTCACCCCTCTTGCAGCACTGCCTTCCCTGCCCGCTGCAGCCTGTCCTTGACGGGGCACTGCTCACGTCCTGCGTACGACGAGGAGGGAGATGCCCTTCCCCAGGGCTGCCTTTCCCTGACGGTGCTTCTTCACTCAGCTCCTTGAACAGCAGCTTTCCCCTGCTCTCCCCGGGCTGGGCTTCCAGCCCGGAGCTCCCCCAGCATAAGCTCGTTGTGATTTGTCCTTTGCTGCTTTGGCTCGTTCTGAACCCGGCCGTGTTTCGAGGCGCTGGGCTCTGCTTTGCTGCTTGTGACGCCCGCGTCCCCCGGCCGAGCCGCACACCCGCGTCCCGTGGGTGCCACATGGCTGTTCCTGCTCCCCGGGACACAGCTCGGGGCTTGTCCCTGCTCTCGGGGGGCTCCGGGCTCCCCCCGTGGAACCCCCAAGGTGCCAGTGGAGGCTTTGTGCTCGGAGAGGACGTGGCGGCTGCGTGAGGTTTTAGTTTCTAGGTATATGCAATAAAGAATAACCTGCCCCCCGAGCTGTCCGTTACCAGCAGTAGTGCTCTCTGCTCTTTCTGTTGATGTTTACTAATGTAAACCCAGTATTTGTTACTGTAAAAGGATTTTTTTTTTTTTT